TTAAGAGGTCCGGCTAGCGCAGCTGGAACAGTTCGATTGATTTTGCAATGGTTTAGTCATAGCTGTTGCTCCCTTTTAAAATGTCAGCGTGTGTTCTCCCAGGAACCCTGTTTTATTTCCTTGTCATCATCGGACAGTTTATACTGGGTACTGAAGATTTTTTCTTTTAACTTACTTGTATTAGTGCATTTCAGATACACACAACGATAACATTCATCGTGGGGCATTTTGAACCTGGACATGGTATATCTTCCCGCTTTCTTCCCGTTCCCCTCCGCTCCCTTCAGCCCCTCTTCCTCTCCTTATTTACAGAAGCTTTGTTTCCATTTTTCCTTTCTATTCTCTTTTCTCCTTGTCCCTTCTTTCCTTCCCCCACTCCCATGTTCTCTTTCTCATTTGAACATTCTCTTCCTATTACTCAATATCTGTCATGCGTTTTGGTCTTTATTTACACTTTCAGTTTCTCACACCAGAGAAACAATAAGGTATTTAAATGTGTGTATCTGATTTATGTCACTTAGAGAGGTGCTGAAGATTAACTGTTGACGTCATACTGATGCCTCTCAGTGTGACCACATTTGGGCCTATGGCTTCTAGCTATAGTTAAATTATTAATAGGAGCCACATTTTTTTTTTATTTTTTATTTTTTTGGTACCGGGAGTTGAACTCAGGACCTCGCACTTGCCAGGCAAGCAGTTGTGCTGCTGAGCTATATCCCCAGCCCAGGAGCCGCATTTTAATGTCACTATGAAAAACTGTTTAATGTCTTAATTAAAATGTCTTACATCAAGAACGGAGAGGGGGCTGGGTGTGGTGGTGCACACCTGTAATCCCAGCACTTGGGAGGCTGAGACAGGAAGATCCTTGTTAGTTTGAGACCAGCCTGGGCTACAAAATGAGTTTAAGGCCAGCCTGAACTGCCTAGTGAGACCCTGTCTCAAAAAGACAAAAAAAAAAACAAAAAAACCTCAGATCCTCTGAGTAATGCCTGGATAATAACCCATCTCAAATCTTATACAGTTTTGTAAAGTTACAATGAAGTCTTAAACTTTTAAATTTTTCAGGATACAGTTTTCCTAAAATATAGATTAGTGAAAAATACATATTCTGAAAGACTCATATTTGTGAAATAATTCACAGTTGAGTGTAACTTTGGAATCCTTCATATAAATTTATGAGAGGTAACAAGAAAGATAATTTTAAAATTAAATACTTATTTAAATGCAGTTTTTTCCCTTCATGCAATAATAGTAAATCTGAAGTCCCATGGAATGGTGTAACCTCTTCACTCTGGTTTTGGTTTTTTTTTGGTCTTTTTCTCTTTTTTTGGAGATAGGGTCTTGATATGCAGTTCAGGCTGGCCTTGAGCTCACTTTGTAGCCCAGGCTGGCCTTGAACTGGCAGTGATCCTCCTGCCTCAGCTTCCCAACCGCTGGGATTACAGGCGTGCGCCACCATGCCCAGCTTCACTCTGGTTTTGAACGTAAATACCACTCACCTTCGCACAAGGCTAGAAGAAATGCCGAGGAGAACAGGGGCTCTGGGGAAACTTGGAGCAGAGCTGATGCACTGGTAGGCGTTGGTGAGGCTGGAAAGACCAGCTGGGACCTTTGTTTGGGTGCACACTTATTGTCTCTGGAGACTTGGCTGCGTCACTTTCTAATCCTTTACAAGTGACCAAAAATACCAAGGGGATAATAGGTGTGCGTGGAAGTTGATGAGTAACCTTGACGCTGTAGCAGAAATTTCCCATTTAATGGGGAGCATGTGTTCCTCACCTATAAAATGGGGATCCTCTTTTCTGCCGGGTCCCTGGGGACAAGGCTGGAGATGGCGCGTGCAGAGGACTAGCGGCGCCTGACCTGCACCTGTGCCCCTGTCCTGTGGGGGCAGTCGACACCATCGGATTCCTGGACTTCTTCCTGTTGAAGGTTCCAGGTGGTCACAGACAACCAGCTGGAGCTGACTGGAATGTAAAACCCTATTGCGGGAAACTGTCCCTGTAATAGCCTTCAGATACGGAGATTTTCACTGCCACCTGCAATCTGTTTGGATTTGTTCTTTTTTTTAAGTTACTGTAGCAGTTCATGACTAAAGTAAGTCTTAGTAAATGCTTAGGCATGATATAGAAAGATAGGAGTTTCCTGTCTTTGAATCTGTGTCACATGAAAAGATCTTTTAAGAAGTTCTTTTCCTGTTTCCTTACTCGGTGTATGTTCTAAATCTCTCTCAAGGGCGTCACTCCCTTTAGCTCTTGCCGCCTTTCTGAATCAGTTTGAGGGAACTCAGACCGTCTACGCTGTACCCAGATACATATCCTTTTTTCAGCATGAAATCAAACATAATTCTAAAAACTTCACCTTTGAAACCTGAAATGTATATGAAGACATGACAAATGCACACATTTTAATACGTGAATCTATGTAAAGTGACTATAAAACTTGGGCTTTTAACTTTTGTTTCACTCCTAATGTTCTTTTTCTCAGAAAATGTTCTTAAAACATCACATGAATACTACAAAGAAAAAATAGTTTGGCCTTAACAATTTCATGGTACATATTTATGTTTTAACTAGAAAACTGGTGTTTTTCCCCACTAAGTATCCTGTTGCTAGTTTGCACCAAAACACTGGCTTACATTCTTTCAGCAACTGTTTTTATTTGCAATGTTAAAAAGTGTAACCATACTGGGGCTTTTGTATTACATTTCACAGCACAACAATTTATAACTCTAAAGTAGTAAAGAGCTAAGTAACGGAAGTTGCTGTCTTCCTAACAGGAAGTATAAAGGTTTTCCAGACGAAGTTCTCTGCTTAACATGATCTTAACAATGCCTCAGGGTAGTGAGTGTTTTGTTGCTGGTTTGTAACACTGTTGTAATATCACCAACAGAAGTATCTGTTCAAACGTCAAGGTCTGCTTATCAAATTCCACCCCCACCTACTATCTACTTGGTAGTTTGAGTCAAAAGTCTTAACGGACACAATGGATCATCTAGTATGTTTAAGCTTTGCTTTTCGTTTTTTTTTTTTTTTCTTTTTCTTTTTTTAAATAATGCCCCATTTATCTTGAATATTTTAAAACCTTATTAACTGCTGTCTACAGGTACTTTCTGCGTGCTGTCATTATGGGGCTGATCCCCTTGGTGGGTGGCCAGTGTTACACGGAGGCCTGGAGGGAGGGCAGAGGAGGGGGATGCTCGCTGCTAGGTGACCTCTGCTGGGCAGGGTGGCTGCTCCTCGAAGCTGCTTTCTGGCCTTTTGGGCCATGTGGCTCTGCACATCCCAGAGCCAGCCACTGGGCACAGCTGCCCACGTCAGGGTTGCTTCGGGGTCTTGAAGGACCATTGGCTTTAGTGTGAGCCGCTGGGCTTAAGTGGAGCTCTTCTTCCCTGAACCAAGAGAGGTTTTGCTGGGGTTTGATTTGTTTTCGGTTTTTTGGTACCAGGAATTGAACTCAGGATCTTGTGCCTGCCAGGCAGGCGCCGTGCCACTGAGCCCTGCTTGGGTTTGAAAGAGACAGAGAGCACAGTAATTGTGAATATTTTAGGGGAGTCTGCATAGCCAATACGTTTGAGATTTTAGGGACATGGAGGCCAATTTGTGGGCAGAGAGGAGGGCTTTGGTTCACTGAGTCGCTTTCCGGGAGGGGACAGCCTTGTCACGCCCCTGCTGGTGCATCCTTTCCCAAGCCCGAGTAGCTTTGCTTTCCTTGTCTTTGTATCTTTGACTCCAAGCCCGATAGTCTGTGCAGCGGGTGCTCCATCGTGACCTGGCACGGATCCAGGCTGACCGGAAGTATGGCCGGCAGTGTGGCTGCTTAGGGAGGAACTGCTTCCTCACCTCGTGAGGCCCAGGCCCGGTGTCCCTGTCTGGCACTTTATTGTGCCATAGTACGGTAGCTGGAGAGCTTAGCTTTCCCAAGAGAGTCAGTTCAGTTTAGAGAGCTTCAGTGTGGGGTGTGGGGTTAGGAACCTCAGAGATTCAGAGGCCTGGCCCTCCTGGAAGAGAGCAGTTTTCATGTGGAAGAGAGTGAATTTTCTCGGGCCGCAGTGTGTGGGGAAACAGCAGGGACCGAGGTCCTCTCTCTCCTTCCACTCTTTTCTAAGATGTGAAAGGCTCTCCTCAGCGCCACAAGAGTTCTCTTGCTGCTCCTCCTGTGAGGTGTGGACTGCTGGTGGCTTACTCCTCACAGCTTCCTATTTCTGTTACAGGGAAGCATGGCGTTTTAGTCACTTCTCATTCTCGGGGCACAATACGTGATACCCACACCTTGAAGTGAGGAAGGTTTATTTTGGCACATGTTCTTGGTGCCTGGTTGGCCAGCTCCGAGGCAGGAAGGCCTGGCCTGATGGAAGGCCCAGGGCAGAGCAAAGCTGCTCACATGGGGGCAGCCAGGAAGCAAAGAGATCAGGGGGAGCTGGGAAGGGAGAAGCACCCTTCCTGGTCACACCGCCGTGACCCACCTCTTCTGAGCAGACCTGCCGCCTGACAAGTCAGCTCTACGCCCCTAGTCTGGTCACCTTTCAAAAGACCTGCCTCTGAGTGCACGAGGCTTTGGGGGAAATTTTAGGTGTAAACCACCCTGACCAAGACCGTTCTGTCACTCTGGCCAGGAGGGAGTCATAAGTTGTTTTCTCAGGAGGAACACGGGCGGCAGTGGTGGTATTTCAAGACAATTAGAGAGGAGAGATGTTTTATTATGAAAATATAAACCAAAATATACTATTTCAGTGTTTCTGCCCTTCAAGAAATGTACGTTAAATAACAAATGGTCGCCCGATCTGCACATGGTTAGATCCAGAGCCAACTTCTGAACCCTCTTTATTGTTCACCTTCAAACCGAGGAGTCTCAGGAGTGACGCCGGTCACCACCCAAAACTTACCAAGTTTCGCCTGTGAGCTGAGCTGTGCCTGATGCAGTACCATGCCAGGGACTTGCCAGCGCAGTAACTCTGCACGTCGACCTTACCTGCCTTTGTTTCCCTTTTGCACCTTCAGGTACAACAGTGCCAGCCCACAGGGCCATCCTGGTGGCCCGCTGTGAAGTGATGGCGGCCATGTTTAATGGGAATTACATGGAAGCAAAGAGTGTCCTGATTCCCGTTTACGGCGTTTCCAAAGAGACGTTCTTGTCCTTTTTAGAGTACCTGTACACAGACTCCTGTTGCCCAGGTGAGCAGTATTCTGTGTAACACCTCACAGCTCTTTCTGTTGTCGATGCTCATTTTGGTAAGTTGCTTCCTGCAACATCTGTTTGCATCTAACACCTATCAGAGTTGCCATCGTGGCGGGTGCTGACCGGCGGGAGGTGGTGTTGGGACAACAGTGAGTTCTCAGTTAGCTCAAGTAAAGAGCCATGATTAGGAGGCTCTCCGGCCCTAGTGTAAGTGCACACGCATGCCCCGTCCGGCACCCACATGTGGTGACCCCTGTGGGCACCCCAACAGTAGAGGTGTTTGGGGCTCCCAGTGGCTAATTCTAGAGACTGGAGAAGCCGGCTTCTGGGAGCACAAGGATCTTCTGGCTTCCACTGGGTTGGATAACTGCTCTCATGTCTCAGTTCTGACTGAGATGTTTTTAAGGGCTTTCTATGTGCAGATACACCCTTGTCTCCTTCCGGTCAGAGTTTATGGGATTTCTAAAGGCTCCTTCTGACCTGTAAAATCTGATTGTTATTATACTGACTTCGGAAGACTTTTGGATCTATTTCCACATTCACTGACCGAAGACTATCTTTGACCAGGAACCAGCCATCTGTCATAGCCACAGGTGGGAACAGATCTTGCACATTTCCTTTAGCTGAATGCTCCCTGGAGAAATAGCAAAATCCTTCCAGCAGGCACAAGGCCTTGTGATGCAGGCAAGAAAGCCCTTTCATTATGCTTCACCCTTTGGCCGCCAGGTGGCTCCGGTCACAAACACAGCTGGAGTATGTCCCATGTAGATTATCTACCTAGGCCCAGAGGCTGACACCTTGTTACAAAACCTGACCCACACCCTAGCACACATAAAAAGAAGACATATTTCAGACCATGCCTCTTTTCAGATTCACTGCTTTCATTTTTCAACTGGCAAGATTTCCTGCATGTGTTACTGCAATAAGCAGTGAAAGGTTTCTGAAGTTTTAAAAAAGAATATTCCTTTTAAGCTGCATTAATCCTGGTCTTGCAGCTAGCCAGAGTATTTTGGAGCCAGATGTTACTGTCAGTGTTAAAGATTAGCTTTTTCTCTTTCATTTAACAAAAATGAAAGCTTAAGTTCTTAATGGAAATAAATGTATATTATTTCAGTATTCATAAATTTGCATGTTAAGTAAAAGATCGAGAGGCCTGGGGATATAGCTCAGTGGCACGAGTGCCTGCCTGGCAAGCCTAAGGTCCTGAGTTTGATTCCTGATACAAAGGAAAAAAAAAAAAAGATGGAGCAGATTTGAAATAATAGGAAAATTTTGTTTCTCAATCATCATCATGTCATGTGAGTAACTAAACCTGCTTATTTTAGGTTTACCTTGTTGATTAGGAAAAAGTGCCTAGAAAAGCAATAAATACACAACAAAGTACTTTTAAAGTTGGTAAAAATTATAATGGGAGAAATCAATCAAAACGGCTGGGTGTGGTGGTTCACGCCTGTAATCCTAGCACTTGGGAGGCTGAGGCAGGAGGATCTTTGCAAGTTTTAGGCCAGGTTGGGCTACAAAGTGAGCTCAAGGCGAGCCTGAACTGCATAGTGAGTCCCTGTCTCCAAAAAAAAAAAAAATTAATCAAAATGAACAAAGAAGCCAGGAGTGGTGGCGCACACCTGTAATCCCAGCCCTCAGGAGGCTGAGGCAGGAAGATCATTGCAAGTTTTAGGCCAGGTTGGGCTACAAAGTGAGCTCAAGGCGAGCCTGAACTGCATAGTGAGTCCCTGTCTCCAAAAAAAAAAAAAATTAATCTAAATGAACAAAGAAGCCAGGAGTGGTGGCGCACACCTGTAATCCCAGCCCTCAGGAGGCTGAGGCAGGAAGATCATTGCAAGTTCAATGCCAGCCTGGGCTACAGAGTGAGCTCAAGGCCAGCCTGAACTGCACTGCAAGACCCTGTCTCAAAAAGACAGACAGCCCCCAACCCCAACAAAACAAAAAATGAAACAAAACCAAAAAATGAACAAAGAGTTAAGCCCAACAGTGGGATATATGCATTGGGAAAGTTACAGAACGTTTGTTATGTTAACTGCTTGCCATATACAGTATTCTTGGTCCCACTGCTGCAAAAGAATGTGAGGAATTTGGGGGAGTGTAAGAAAGAACTGCATGGAAAAGCAGACTTCTGCACAAGTGTATAAAAAAAAAAAAGGAAAAATGTAGGCGGTTGCCAGAGCTGAGAGCAGGGGAAAGTGGAGAGCTGCCCAGTGGTTGTAGGCTCCACGGCGAACCTGTGGCTCTCCTGCCACTATGGGCTGTTTGTCATGGAAAGCTCCAGAAGGTTTGTCATCGCTGGTCTAGAGTTCTAGTTTGGCAAAGTGAAAAAGTGAAAAAGTGAAAAAGTGTTCTAGAGATGGGTGGCCATGGTGGGCGCTCGGCAGAGTGAAGGTGTTCATGACACTGAACTGTAAACTTAAAAATGATTAAAATGAAGTTGGGCACAGTGGTGCTAATTTGTAATCCCAACTCTTTGGGAGGCTGAGGCAGGAAGATCATAAGTCCCTCCTGGGCAATTTAGCGAGACCCTGTTTCAAAGGAAAACAGAAAAGAGGCTGGGTTAGCTCAGTGGTAGAGTGTCCCTAGGTTCGATTCCCAATATTGAAAAGAAGATTAAAATTTTAAATTTTACGTTATATTTATTCTACCACAATGAAAACAGAACAGAAAAGCAAGCCTGGGGACTAAATCCAAACAAGAAAAGTTGTGAGGATTTAGCTGTAACAGAAGGATTTACCCACGAGCTCTGGAATCACTTCTCTGGAGAATTTAAGAAAAAAAAAAAAGATTCTCTTCTGGGGGTAAAGGCTTAAATGGACCCTTTTGTGGTGGCGCACGCCTGTAATCCCAGCACAGGGGAGGCTGAAGCAGGAGAATCACTGTGAGTTTGAGGGTAGCTGAGACCCTGTCTCAAAAAAGTCAAGGTACAGGCTGCTGCTTGCCTCAAGGTTTAGTCTACACTGGGTAATACCACCAGCATGGCTTTCAGTGTGTGTGTGTGTGTGTGTGTGTGTGTGTAATTCATACTGATATAGGGGAATGAAATTCCCAACCCGGTAGGTGTCCAAAATGCAGAGTTTGTGTTCTCTAAAATTGAGGAATGAATTCTAGGAACAACAGGAGGTTAAGAGTAGGAAGAATTTATTGAGGAAAAGACAGCTTCTGTCTGAGAGGGACAGAAGGTGGCTGGAAAATGAGTTGCCTGCCAACCCAGCCTCTCAAGGGTGTGTATTGAGCAAAGCCTCGAGCTGAGGCGGGCTTAAGGTGGGATGGAACTGATACAGGGAAAAGAAACTGGCAGCCTGAAAGATATCTGGGATGAGTTCGTGTCCTCTAAAATTGAAGAATGAATTTTAGGAACAACAGAGGTTAACAGCAGAATATATTTCCTGAGGGGAAGAAAGCTTCCGTCTGAGAGAGACAGAGGGCACCCAAGTGGGTTGCCCAGGAAGCTGCCTTTCCTAGTTTTATAGAGCAAAATCTCGAGGTGAGCCAGGGCCAAGGTGGGAAACATGGGAACTTGAGAGGTGGGCATGAGGTGGGACAAAACTGTGATCAACCAATAAAATTACGAGTATAATTGCTCAGGCTAAAATTGACTCAGGTAAATCAGGATCAAATGGGGAAGCAAGTCACATAGCAGGTGGGCATGAATACAGGCCAGGGGCCTTTCCTGTAGGGGGTTGGGTTAGTGACTCTTCCTGGCGTTTTCAGGGTGATGGATACCTATTTAGAATATCAGTCCCTGATGTCCATCCCCAGGGAGCTATGTGGGTTCGTCTGTTTCATCTTTTGCCCACAGCAGAAGTGCGTGTCTCTCCCACAGTGCCAAGGTGTCTTGTCTTCCATACTCGCTCCTTCGAGGGCCTGGCCCTATCTGACTGTCTGTAATATTTCTGTCTACAACAGAACTATAATCAATGGATAAGATTACAAGTATAGTCGCTTGGGTAATATTGATCCAGTGGCAGATTATAGGGTGGGTGTGAGGTGGGACAAAACTGCGGTCAGCCAGTATTTATACAACAGGTGTAGGCGCCAGGGTAATACTGATTAAATGGGGATCAAGTGGAGCAACAAGGAATGTAGCAAGGGACGGACAAGGGCTGTCCTGGAAGAGGTGGGTTAAGAAGGTTTGGGCTCCACCCCAAGGTAATCGATGCCTGCTTAGACTATCAATCACTGCTCTTCATCCCAGGGGAAGTATATAGGGGAGTAGTTCTTTAGTCCTCTGCATTGGCCTGTGGAGGGCCCAGCCCTGTCTGACAATATTCCTGCCTAACTTAGCAATCTCTAATAATGTCAGCCATGGTTTTACCACCTGCCCTTTCTTGTGTCCTCACTCCGCAGCTGGCATTTTCCAGGCCATGTGCCTGCTGATCTGTGCTGAGATGTACCAGGTGTCGAGGCTGCAGCACATCTGCGAGCTGTTCATCATTACGCAGCTGCAGAGCATGCCCAGCAGGGAGCTGGCCTCCATGAACCTTGACATCGTAGACCTGCTCAAGAAGGCCAAGGTAATCGGCCCGATGGGTCTGACTCTTGTGATGTAAAAACAATGATAAAAATTTGTACTGTGCCTTTGATAATTTGTTTTTGAAGCGAGAGGCAGGTGATTGCAAGTTTGAGCCCAGCCTGGGCAATAAAGCAGCTTACGGAGACCCTGTCTTAGAATTACTTCTGGTCTTGCGGTTAGCTAGAGTATTAATTCAGTTTAAAAAAGAATATTCTTTTTTAGAACTTTAAAAATCTTGCACTGCTTATTTCAGTAACACATGCAGGAAATCTTCTCAGTTGAAAAATTAAAGCAGTGAATCTGAAAAGAGGCATAGTCTGAAATGGTGTGGGTCAGGTTTTGTAACAAGGTCTCAGGCTCTGGGCCTAGGTAGATAAGCTACAGGCAACATAGTCCAGCTGTGTTTGTGACTAGAGCCACCTGGTGGCCAAAGGGTGAAGCATAGTAAAAGGGCGTTCCTGCCTGCATCACAACGCCTTGTGTCTGTTGGAAGGATTTTGCTATTTCTCCAGGGAGCATTCAGCTATAAAAGATTTGTGAGATCTGTTCCAACCTGTGGCTACAACAGATGGCTGGAGATGTAGCTCAGTGCAAAAGCCCTGGGTTCATTTTCCAGTAGTAGAAAAAGTAAAATAAAAGCTATGCTGTTTTCAGGCTGAAGTTTGGTTAAAGGAAGCTCCATGAGTTTCCCTGGCTACTGTTAAAACCTTAGTGGTTTTGCTCAGTCTCCCTCTATGCTGATAGAGTTGGAAGGTTTGTCCAGCAGTGACCTTTAGCAGTCATTTGAGCATCACGGAAGCATTATAAGAAACAATTTTAGGGCTGGGGACATATCCCAGCGGCACGGTACCTGCCTGGCAAACACAAGGTCCTGAGTTCAATTTCTGGTTCAAAAAAAAAGGAACAGAATTTATGCTGAATTTTCCCAAAGGATCACATCACAGCATTCCTTAAAGGAATATGGCATGTAGTCTGTATATGCTGGTGGACATGGCTAAGTTAAACTGATTCACTGCTTCATGCATTTTGTGAATGTGTTTTGAAGTTCCAGGTGTTTGTAGGAGATATTACTGTATTTCATTGATTCTTGCAAAATGTCTTTCATTGGTACATTTTACCCAACTACGAGTACAGTTTTGAAAAGTTAGAGATTGAGGAACCCTTGAATATGTCCTTCTGGTTCTTCTGGGTCTCTTCTAAGATGAGAACTAATTTTAGAACTAATATCTAGAATATTTAAAGAATTCAAAACAGTTACACCACCTAAGCCAAAGACCCAATCAAGAAATGGGCAAGTAAAAAGAAAACAGATAATTTTTCTGGGAAAGAAGTGCAAATGGCCAACAAACATATGAAAAAATGTTCAACATCCCTGGCCATTAGAGAAATGAAAATTAAAACAATGCTAAGATTCCATCGTACACCAGAAAGAATGGCTACCAACAAGAAGTCAAAAAGTAACAAATGCTGGTGTGGCTGTGGTTGAAAAGGACCCTCCTGTGCTGTTGGTGAGAGTGTCAACTAGTACAACCATTATGCAAATCAAATTCCTCAAAGAAGTAAAATTAGAAATGCCGTGTGACCCAGTTATTCACCCTCTAGGTAACTTCTCCAAAGAGCTAAAGACATTATACTATGGCAGTACATGCAGGCTAGTATAGCAGTACCATGTACAGAAACCCAATAACCACTAGGAATGTGAACATTATATGCCATAAACATGAGATAAGATCAGTGGTATCAACAAGAACAAAAATGGTGGAAGAGGGTTTAGAATGGGAGGGAGGATCAGAAAGGAAGAACCAATCTGTATTCTGTGCAACTGCCCAGTCCCCAAGACGATTTTAAACTCTGTGTACTGCAAACATATACTAATAAAAACCACTATTGCTGCTAATTTTAGGGAACAGATGGAGTTTACACAAGTTAGTATGAGTGACTATATCTGCAAAGACCTAGGATATAATAGATCTGACAAAGCACCGAGCCAGGTCTGTAAGTACTAGGATTGCTTGAAATCGGCTCAAACCTTCAGGTGTGGCCCCAGTCAGAAGCTCCTGTTAGCCCGCGGTGGTAAGACACGCCTATAGTCCCATCACTTTGGGAGGCTGAAGCAGGAAGATTGTAAGAGACTTATGGGGCAATTTAGGGAGACCCTGTCTAAACAAAAAACGTGAAAAGGAGAGGGGGCATTGGAGATGTGGCTCAATGTGAAGACCCTGGGTTCTATTCTCAGTACCACCAAAGGAAAAAAAAAAGTCTTTTCATTGCGACTCTTAACCTGGTAGCAGAAAGTTACCCGGATTGAGTCATACTACAGTACTTCGGTTATCCGCCATTCCATTCTCCACCGGAGATGCTTGAGGACTTGAGACTTGACCCCTCCAGATCGTTTTCACAGGAGCGTCTGATCCAGGGCTACAGAATGTCAGGGCTTCTTAAAGTAGTGCCTGGTGTACAGCATATCGTCTGTTCCTGTCAACTTTGACGTCCAGGATGTTCAAAAGCAGGACAACTTTGTCTTCACTCAAGTTCCCGGAGCACATGATGGGGCAAAGAACCTAAGTCTGTGACACCCCAAAGCTTGCTCCCCGTCAGCATACATATTTCTGGTCGTGGAAGTATCTGCACCTTTATTTTACTGTCTCCATAACTCTCTTGGACTTCATTTCTCTCATAAGCATCTTAAAATCATACAGATTCAATATTAATACTAAAAACAAATTTAAAAATCGAGTAACTCTCCGCTCTCTTTGTAATATATTTACATTGAGCTTGAGATAGTTAGCTGTCTTCCAAATTTGGTTTTAAAATTCTTTTTTCTTCTTCCTAGTGTTTTCATAACCTGTTTATTTTTAATGTATTCTCTTACAAGGACGTGCGGTCCGTCTCTTGCCAAGGGCTCACAGTGATGATATCTTAAATCTTCCCAGAAGTAAAGTTCTGCTTTTGGAGCATGTTTTTGGAGTTACTTACTTTTCTCTGTGATCGCCTTTCTTTTTCAGAGTCACAGCTCTTGGGCATTGTCCTGATCTGGGGTAGGTTATCTGTTCTGGGTTAATCATCTAATCCTGATGGTGACTCCTGTTAAAGTAGCTGCAGTTTTGTACTTTGTTCCTAAGAGATCACATTCCTCTTCTAAGAGACAGGGAAGAAAAGATTGTTAAAACTGAGACAGATGAACTATAGCATCCCTTCCAACTCAAAAATTCTGCCTTCATACACTGAACATAAATCTGTGAAGGTATATGTTGTAAATTTTTAAAAGATTCCATCCTTGAGCTTCTTCCTTAAGATTGGAGCTTAAAACTCTCCTCAGTTTATTGTTGTTCATTGGTTAATTAACATTTTCGAGCTTCCTGAAGAGTTATACTGAGCCAGAATGGCATCCGGCTAAGGATACACTCATGCGCAAAAGGTGGCATAGACAGACCATGGAATGTTCGCCTTGAAAAGGAAGGAATTTGCTACATGCTGCAACGTGGATGATCCTTGGGAGACATTATGCTGAGTGAAGTAAACCAAGAGAAAGAAGGAAAGTGTTTATTTAAGTGTCCTCATAGTTCCAGTGATACAAAATAAAGCAGTCATTACCAAGGCCTGGGACTAGGGGAGTTAATGTTTAAAGGGTACAAAGTCTCAGTTTGAGGTCATAGGACAATTCTGGAAATGGACAGTGGTTCTGGTTACACACTTATATGAATTTACTGTGCCACTAAACTGTACACCCACAGATAATTAAAATGTCTTATATTATGCCTATCGCCCACAGTAATAATAGTAATAAAAAAGAACTCTACTCATATACTGAGTTGCCTACCAGCAGGTTACTGTTACCAAACTGGGGGCTGATGACTCAGCGACACTGAGGGGCATCAAGGCCATGATGTCAGTGGCCAAGTGGCTCTTAGTTTCCCTCGCCTAGAAGCTGTTGGAACTCAGAAGAAGACTCATGCAGGAAGTCCAGCTCAGTGTGACAGGAAGTCCAGCCCAGTGTGACAGGAAGTCCAGCCCAGTGTGACAGGAAGTCCATTAAAGCAGCTCTTCAGATATAACTTCCTCATAGAACTATTGACACACCACCACCCACACCCTTAGGCAATGATGTGTCCTCAAAATATTTTTTCACTTGCTTCTGCGGTGCACTTGTTTATTAGAACTTGCTCACCACGATCTTCCTCTGCTACAAGTGTAGTCGGTGAAGAAGTCCATGACCTTAGGTTAAAAGTTTACACGCAGTCCTCAAGCACCTCCAGCGTTTGTTACCCACAGGGCAGGCATAGCTTGTTACTGTTGATTCAGCTTCTTCATTAATATATGTATTAGTATTTATTGGTAATGTTCCCATTTCCTCCCTGTAGCTCTGACAGTTGGAAGGGTGCATCATACACAGACACATAGATACCAGTGCTCTGTGATTTCTGCTAGACCATTGTCTCCCACCGGCCATCGTACCGATGGTCGCGATGTACAATACCGGTTCCCTTTTCATTTCTCTTGCAGTTTCACCACTCTGATTGCCTTTCCACCTGGCTACTTCATTTCATTGCCACCAACTACCTCATCTTCAGTCAAAAGCCTGAATTTCAAGATCTTTCAGGTAGGGAGAACAAAAAACAACTCTATGTTCTTTGTTCTTAGGTTGGAAATTATAGTTTGTAAACCATAGTTTTAACACGGTAATGTTCGGTGTAATACATATCTTTTAAATTATGCAGTGAGGTGACTGAGGACACTTTAATTGATAGTCACCAGTGTTACATAAGCAACTTGACCTGTGTCACACAAGAGGTCTTCTAATAATTATTTTATAGCTCCTATTCAATTTTAAATGCATTTGTAAAAAATAGATAAAAAGTGACTGAAAGTGTCCTCAGGTGGCATTTGGTTTTAATGAATGAGATCTTGGTTGTCACTAAGTCAGAAGCATAATTTAAACAACAGTACTTCAATTTTTATTGTTTATTATTATGACATAGTTTTATTGTACTAGATCTGTATTTATTGTTTCTATTATGGGAATCCCATATATTACTTTGGAGAAATAATGTTTTATTAATTCTGAAACTTGCTGTTCAGAAGTATATATATTATATTTAGAAGGTAAATTATAAAGATGAAAACCAACCAAAGGGTGAGATTCCCAGTACCGCATACGCAGAAGCAAAATGAAAATAGAATAGCCGTCATAGTGGACAATCAGACTAATCAGACAACAAGGTGTAGTGGTTTGCTCTTATTATTACCTACTGTAGACTCAAGGAAATTTGAAGGGCAACCTAGTCAGCACTTTCAAACCCTAGACAAAGAAATCTCCAAGGAGCTATGTGAAGGTCTTAGAGCTCTACATAAAATTTTACTAAGTAAAAACATTTTGCTGATAAAAGATGTGAAAATCTGTTCCTTCAGCCACTCATACCATTGTGGAAACAAGGAAACGCACAGTCGATTTTTAGTGGTGTATTCGCCAGTCAGCAAATATTGTGTGCCTGTGGGAAGCCCCTTAACAGCGATGTTTTCATTTTACACCCATTTTCACAATGCTCTTTGGGTCACCTTCACTTATAAGGAAGAGTAAGGTTATTTTCTGCTTACTTTGTAGAGCTGTATGACATGCGTGGAGTAGTGTTACAGCCTGGGGATGGGGAGATGCTCTATACATTTTTTTGTTTACCAACTTGAATTACATTTCATTGCTTACGCAGTTGCCTGTGAAGTAGGGGGTGACCAGGTGGGACGGTGGGAAGCTGGGCTGCCCAGAGCCAGGAGCTGGCAGAGCAAGGGGCAGAGGCTGCAGCAGCAATTGCCTCTGTTCCGCTCTGGTAATTAAGGCATCCTTAGAGCAGTTTGCATGCTGCCTTCGTGCCTGGCAGCTGGCTCTGCTATGTGGACTTCAAGGGAGGAAAAAGCTCCTGCATAACGGAGAATTGAACTCTCTAGATCGGTGGTTACAAACGGGCAGTCTGTGGGCTTGATGTAGCCCGTCGAGGGGTTCTATTTGGACTGTATTTTTAAATTTTCATTTTTAAAGTATTATGCAGTGTGATCAAAAAATATGGTAAATTTAAAAAAAAATTATTACAGTAAAAGACACGAGTTGCTATTACTTCCTCTCAGAATACTTTCCCTTGCTTTGAACACACTTACCCCGTTGCTCTTGCCACTTTCTAAGCAGATGTGGAAATCCTCTCTCATTAGTGTCCTTAGGGCGCTGCTGTGGCTGCCTAGATGTCCTGAATGAATTCAGAACATTTCCCCTTCATGGTCGTTTTGACTTCGGGTAAGAGCGAGAAGTCACATGGTGCCTGATCTGCTGAATAAGGTGGATGAGGACACACTGTTGTGTTTTTTTTCTTTTAACTTTTTTTTTTTTTTTTTGGTACTGGGAATCGAACTCAGGACCTTGCACTTGCCAGGCAGGTGCTTATGCTGCTGAGCTATATCCCCAGCAACACTGTCGTGTTTTTATGAGTCTGCCTTTCCCTTGGATAGTGGCAGTATTTACTGTATTTTTTTTGTATTTTTTAAATAAAACAAAATTTTATGACCAAATAATAAGAGATTAACAATAGGTAATATATTAGATCAGACCTTGTAAGGACATTCACGAAAGAGGACTTCCAGAACTGCTTCAGAAAGTGGCAAAATGATGGGAAAAGTGTGTTTGAAGCAAGAGGAAGTATTTCAGGGGGATTAATGGCAATGTGTCCTTTACTGTAATAATTTTATTAAAAAATTAAATATTCACTATACAGTTTGGTTCCTTCTTGTATTGCTGTTTTAGAACTCAGATTTCTTCTTCTTTTTATTTTTATTTTTTTTGTGTGTCTTTTTGAGACAGGGTCTTGATACGCAGCTCAGGCTGGCCTTGAGCTCACTTTGTAGCCCAGGCTGGTCTCGAACTCACAACGGTCCTCCTGCCTCAGCCTCCCAAGTGCTGGGATTGCAGGAGTGTGCCACCAAACCTGGCTTAGAACTCTAGATTTCTGGCTTCTTTTGAAAAGTTGGAAGACCTGAATATTCGCACCATCTTTCCGGGCAGCACTAGCCATATACCATAGGAGCTGGGCAGTGGCCATCCCTGGAAGGCATGTGTCCTCTTCAGGGTGTCACAGGCATCTCCCCTTTCCAGTGCCTTACACCTGGCCTACTTCACAGGGTCACTTCAAGTTCTGAAGGGTTTTTGTCAGAATTTCTTCACAGCTTCCTCGTAGAATTGGCCATTCTCAGTGTCAGAAGTTATCAGATTATCATTGGAATTCTACGCATTGTTTTGACTGGGAATTTTTTTGATTTTAGAAGTATTTAGAAATTGGACTGGAAAAGAGCTCACATCAATGTGGGCATGGATACCTCAGACTCCAGCTAAATAGCTCATCACACAGATATTTAGATACTGGATTCTGATGGAACCAGCAACACACAGGAACACGTTCCCCTTGGTGTCTATGGACTGATTTTCCTCACAGTTTAATTTGGCTCAGTAGTGTCCTGTGTATTATATGGTGTGGAGATTTTGTTTTGTTTCTATTTTTGCTGGCTGCCAGAGCTCATCTGCGATAACTTACTGGAGGGATCATCTCATGTCACCTTTGCTTCCTAATGAAACTTGGAGGACACATTTCCCTGAGTGGTGCCGTTCTTTCCATCCAGGCCCCGCAGCCTGGGTAAGGCCTCGTTCATCCAGATTTCAGTGGATGAGGTTGAAGCAGATGGAGAAGTGCAAACTGACTTAGCAGGAGCAAACCTCAGTGCACACACAATGGGGGAGCAAACTGATTCCCCCAGCGGGATCCCAGAAGTCTTAGATGTTTGAGGTGCTAGGCGTTTCTGAAGCCAGGATGGGGCTTGAGGAGGGAAGCAGTGGAATTAGTTGAATATTGATTGAGAAGCTTTTACTGCCTCCTCCACACACACACACACACACACACACAAGCAAGTGCTTCCTCATCTTTGCAGGAGATGGGAGTTTGTTTCTGGAGAAATTCAAGGATGTAGCACTTACGGGGCCGTGCAGTTTGTGTGTAGCTGAGATTAGGGGTGAGGAGCCGGACTGAAGCATGGTACTGCATGTAAGCGTGTGCATTGCACGCCAAGGCTCCAGCCTCCTTCCCTACCCAGGTTCGAGAATTCTGGCAGCTTGGCAGTTGCCAGCCTGGCTCCCGTACCCTGGGGATGAGGGGGAAGTATCCTTCTCTGGTCTCAGGGAGAAGGCACATGGTAATCGTGTGGGCAGGTGTATCTGCTCAGTCACACCAGGCATATCCCAGCCGTGCCCCAAAGGTTTCCGGACAGCTTCCAGTGTCTTGCTCTTAACTATGAAGAGACCACTGGGACTCAGCAGATACAGTGTTTGAAGCAATTGCTGACGCAACAACATAGGTACCAAAAAGGAAACAATAAATGCAAACAGGAGAAAAAATGAACTCTGAGGAGCAAAGATGCAGGAGAGCCAGTTTTTTTTTTAATTGGAGGCTCATTGTAGAAGAAGTAGTATGTAGCAGAAGTTCATACAGACAAACAACAGGAGGGAATTTATCAAAGAATCACTGTAAGGAAGTTAGCCCAATGCTGGAGAACCCAAGTCAACACTGAAAGGATTTGCTAAATGTTCAGCTTAATGAACAAGGCACTCTGGTACATGTCTGAACACTAACTGTAAACAGAAAAATCTTAAGTTTCCAGGATTTAAACACATGTGCGTATACACACACACACACACACACACACACACACACACACCACCTTCCCCGGACTATGAATCTGAGTGGCAGTGGAATTCTTCACCTTGGAAACTAGAAGGTGGTAGGGTACTGTCTTCAACATTTTGAGAGGAGTTTTCAATTTGGAATTCTATACCAAACCAAATTGTAAGTCATGAGTGAGAATTAACTAAAGACATTTCATCACAAACAGCATCTCAAACATACTTTTCAGACCTCCTTTGCAGGAAGCTAACAAAAGTTGTGCTTCCCCCAAATTAAGGAATAAAGTGAAGGAATCCGAGTTCAGGCATGGAAGGTCTGGGGAAAGGCCTGAGCAAGCCTGGAAAGCCAGAGGGTGCGGGGCTTGGAGAGCGGGTGAACCTCTGGGGCCAGCAGTCACTTTGGGGATGGGTAGATTCCTGACCATGCTGGGTGGCAAACAGCCTGGAGAACCTCACAGAATTTGGAAGGTGAGTTAGCTGCAAAAAAATTAAACAACAACAAAAAATGAGTCTGTTATCTCCAGGAAAGTTAAAGTTTTATTGAAAAAGAAAGGAAAATAAGCCAGGTATGGTGCACGCCTGTAATCCCAGCACTTGGGAGGCTGAGGGAGGAGGATCATTGTGAGTTTGAGACCAGCCTGGATTACAAAGTGAGCTCAAGGCCAGGCTGAATGGTACAGAGAGACCCTGACTCAAAAAGACAAAAAAAAAGAAAAAAAAGAAAATACTAAACTACTGTTTGATGAAGCATTGGGCAAGATGTGTATAATCGTAAACCACCTAATAGCATACACGCTGAAGACTGGTTTAACCAAAATTTTGTTAGATCATTCTGGAAAGCTTCCAGGAAGGGTAGGGGAAGTACAACAGAGTTTGGATTTCATCAATCACATAGAAAATCAACAGTTAATATCTTAACGTGATCTAAAATAAAATACGTTCTATTAACGTTTTTCTTCACATTTCAGTGGAAGAGCGCAGTTTCGTGGAAAGGCATAGATGGCCATCAAATCTGTACTTGAAGCAGCTGGCAGAGTACAGGAAGTATATTCACTCCCGGAAGTGCCGTTGCGTAGTGATGTGACCTGGAGCTTTTATATCCGTCCGTGTTTTCACTGTTACAAAGAACGGGATGCTGCTGGATTCCAGTGAAATTCTTATGACTGAATGCCAGTACGGATGTTTAAAAAAATCAGCCTAATGTGTTTATCAGTTCTCTTCAAAAAACCTACAACTGTATTCTTAAAAGGGAACAAAATATAACACAGACTAAAACTAAGGCTTTACGCTAGAATATAAAGCTGTTGTACAGAGGTGTTTTCCCTTTAAGATGTACTCTTGCTTTGGTGACCCTTCCCTGTTAGGAGTGCTTAAATTTTTTTAAAAAATCAATTAGGATTGATACAGAAATTCATCATGTCTGATTAGCTGCTGTATTAAAATAAGGGGCAGTGAAGGACCCCATGTAACTGCTTCTGCAGTGAGAAATTTAGGGGAGGAGACTAACCAGTCCAACGTGAAATTTCCGAAGTGAACATTGGAGATTTGGAGAGGGTTGTGCTCGTTGGTTCCACACTAGTGTCAGTGTTTGAATCAGCACTATGAACAAAACTCCCTCCTCCGGACTCTGCAGCTGCATCACCTCTTCTGTCCGGGTTCTGCCTGTGCAGGAGACCCAGCCGGCGCCGGCTTTTCCTGTCACACTGGGAAGGGCTTCCCACTTGCTTCAGTGTTTGGCAATGGCTGTCCTAAAGTTCTTCATGATGTTTGAAGAAGGGCCCCTGTTTTCCCTTTGCAGTGATCCCCTAAAATTATGTGTATTTCCTGGCAGGAAAAATACCATGTTCTCCTGCTCACATCATTCTCCCATCCAAGTACTAACCAGGCCCAACCCTGCTTAGCTTCTGAGATCAGGTGAGATCTGGCGCGTTCAGGGTGGTGTGGCCGTAGACTCACACATCATTTTCTCTGAAAGCTGAAGCACACTGGCGTTGAGGGGATCCAGGACAGCTTGTCGGAGGGCAGAGGACAATGGCGGTTCCTGCTCTGGGGGGGTCGGTCCCAGGCCGGCCTCCGCTGCCACCTCCCTTGGTGCACAAGCATCGCCTCTGTTGGATTAGCTTTAAAACTCAGTCCTGGCTCTGCGGCTGATGAACAAATACTTAATTGATGATTCTGTAAGGCCAGGATATTGGTAAGAGTGACTGACTAGCTTGATTTTAATACACATTTATGAAGATGCACACAGGGAAAGATGCTTTCTGAAGAATTTGCTGTGAAGGCTCAGTAACTTCAGTGTATTTGCTAAGATTAGGGTGTCGGTGGTGTGAATTGTTTGAATTTTTTCCAAGGACTGCAAGGCTATTTGATGTGGAGTGGCTTAAGTCTTACTCTTTAAGGTTACCCAGTAAGTTAAAGAAAGGATATAAATCAAAGACTTGTTACATGTAGAGAAGATGGTACTGGGGTAGAGGACAGAATTAGTTTCTCTTGTAGGGCACGAATACAGAAATGATTATATCAGAAGCTCATAAGCCCGAAGGTAGAGAACAGATTACTTAGTATTTATTGTTCAGACTATTGTTGTCTGTAATTTAATATTGAAATATGTTTTTCTTTTAAATTCGTGATTTTAGAATGCACATATTTTTTCCAACTTTTTAAATGTTTGATTAAACACTCTTATACTGTAGTATTAGGATTCCATGCAGTTAGTATACGTGTACCATACTGTCAGAAGAAAGTAAAGACTTCCTTATATGTATTCCAGGAAACCTGCTTTCAGTTGGGCTGTGTCAATGAAGATTACTGGGATGCATTTTGTATTTTTTGTGTTTTAATCACCTAAGTAATCAACTATTAGCAAATCCCACTTGCCTAGGAGTAGCATTGTAAAGAGTAGATAATATAGCAAATTTCTAGAAAATCCTTCACATTTATGAACTTTTAAAATGCAGTGGTAGCCTTTCTTACTTCATAAGCACATTCTCATCCCCATATTAACTATAGCATGTAAAATTATAAAATGGAAGAATACAAGTTGCAAAACAATTTAAAATATTTTCTGGAAAATACTATTTAATATTTAAACAGATAGTAGCTAGTTCTTTTTGGTTGTTGGCCTGAGTGGGAATTGAGTTGGAAAGTGGTGCTCCTGGGTGTTGATACGTAGTATTTATTTTGAAAATTCTTCACCACCTGTGTGACTCAGCCCAGCCCAATACCACAATTCTCCAGAGCTAATGAAAATATAATCAAATTAGCGTTAGAACTTATTGAGTGTAGACTCTTCAATACCTTTTCATTCACCCAATTTAACAAGAAACTTTAAAGACTTATAAACTATCTTAGGGAAATGAGTGCTGGTTTCAAGAATTTTTCAATTGAACAATTATTTCTAGATGGGTGTATGCTTTTTGCTGATCTCTGCTTGAATATATTTCCCAATCATTTTAATTAGAGAGGATACTGTATGTCCGAACTAAGGCCTTTTCTTTCTGGGCCACGTTTTCATGCTGTTTAACCCTTTGTGTACTTCTGGCTACTCTGTTCCTGTTACAGGAGCCTGGATTTGTAATAGCGAACTTCCGGGACTGTATCGCAAGTTCAGCCGGTCCACACCAGCATGGTGGCAGCACATTGGGTAGCAGCAAAAGACAGTGGAATTGGATCCATTTTATTTCCACGGTAGCTAAACTTTCCAACTAGAATTTTACAAACTGCACTACACTACGATAGCTAATTGGACACAAATGTCCTCAGAGTATTTTATTTTATTTAAAGCATCTGTTTAATTCAATCTTTAATGATTTTGCAAAGAAGGGCATGTGAGTATTTTAATAGAGCCTGACCTGAATTTATATGTTTTTAGCTTTAGTATTTAACATTTTGTAACAAATAAACTTTTTTAAAAACAAGCTTAATGAAGTATCTTGTAGTTATTTTCCCTTGGTGTTAAAATGCTAAAATGATTGTGAGAATACTACCAGGTGTTTCTCAGGCATAATTATGTCTCATAATTTCCATAAAGATTTGGAGTGTTGCTGATATTGTAGATGACTCATGGTGTAATGAGATTTGTAAAATTTAGCATTACTTTTAACAACTGGCTAAAGAATAAAAGAATTTCCTTTAGCATGCTGATGGCTTTATTTAGAAGGATGTTTTGGTAATTGTTTTTACCATAGGAGTAAGTCCTCTGTACACATGAATGCTGGTGGGGCCCAAGAATTTGTGAAGTGTGGCAGCTGCTGTGTGTAACCGGAGCAAAGGTTCGAAACTTCTCAGGCCTAAGAGCCCGGAGCAGGAGGAGAGAGAGGACGGCTGCCGTCCTGAGAGGGAGTATTGTACACCGTGTGACAGTGATCCCCCAAACACTCTCACATTCTCAGGGATGTCTGCTACATCCATCGCGGCTCCACTGTTGCTGTGGAGTTACGTTGAGAACACAAATCTGATCTTCCTTGAAGACCCTCATTTCTATCTATGATATAGAAGAGCTTCCACCATCCTCATGGCCAGCGAGGCCTTTCATAAGCCAGCCGTGTCTTCCACTTGTATCACAAGCAGAAAAGACGCCATCTTGACTACTGTCATTCTGGGAGTCTGTGTATTTGTACACCTCAAAGTCTTCCTATGGCTTGGGTTAGATTGCAAAAACCTGTATGTTCTGTAAAACCCAACTTAAATGTCACTTCTGTTTTCCTTTCTGTGACTCTCCCACGGAGAATTAATGGCCTCTGCATGTCTTTTCCTTAGCTCTTCATGCCTCTGGTATGGTACTTACAGCATTCCTGGGTACTCTATATTGGTGATCTTGGCTCTTACTCAAGAGCAGGGATTGCAGAAAACCAGGCAGCTAGGAATGCCTAACTGGAGGGGGCAAACGGAGATTAAAGACAAGACACAGATAATTTTGAAAGAGGGGCCACGGAGCTCTTGCCTCTAGTGGACAAAGAGCCCTTAGCGTCTGGCTCACCTTGCTTTTATTCAGCTTAGGAGGCAACGGAGCAAGCAATTAGGTTAATAGGAAATTCATCTTTTCTCATCATTTGCAAAGTGTACCCAGGTAAGTATTTCTTTAAACAAGATCTCAGCCGTGTTCACTTCTTCCTGGAATTTGCAGCATGCCGGCATGCCTGCACATTGCCAAAGGGGGAACGGCTTGCTGCGCTCTCCTTCATGTCTGCAGGGAAGGTCAGCTGGGCCTCGATCGCTATGAAGTTTCCCACATGGGATCTTTCCTTATTCGTCTTCCTAACCTGCCATCAAGCGTAGGGTCTGGATTATCTGTGTCATCTGAAAAGGCCAGGTTGCATCAGCTAGAACAGTAATCCACACACTTGCAAATGAGAGTAAAAAGCATGCTCATACTTGGAGCTTTGTTTGCCCTGTGTTGGAGTTAGCAGAGTCAGCTGGTGTGGGGGGCCTGGTCTCCCGGGTGGCCAGCTGCCTGTTGAACATACAGAATGCAGAGTAGTGAGTGGTGGGCTACCAGGGGCTGCAGAACACGGACAAAGGGTTCTAGGGGAGTTCTCCGCCCGGAGTGTGGACTGTGGGTCAGATAGTAAGATGGATGAGACAGCAGAGCTCCTGCTGGGCGTGATGAAGGGGGAAAATGGTCCCGCGTTAGCTCAGAGCATACAGGCTCCTTCAACCGCCCGCAGTGGCTTCCTGTCATGGGGCTGCCCGTGTTCTCAAAATCCTAGTTGTCCTGCTCTGCTTAAGGGTTTGATGTTCAACAACGAGATCTAGGTGCCTGTGTCCTGCAGGCAGAGCGATTTGTGCTAACTCCATAGTGTGGTGAGGCCTGAGGAAGAGAAGTGTCATGTCTTACTTCGCCATTACCATTTATTGTGTTAGTACCAGACGTGGTGCATACATTCGTTCTTTTAGGAGAGAGAGCTTACCAGTCTCCTGCTACGGTGATTGAGCCTGTGGATGATAAAACCAGGCTGCCTGGCCTGATTTAGATCCCAGCTGCCCTCTTACTGTGACCTCAGACAGGTAAAGTGGCCTTTCTCTGGCCTTTGCGTGCTTATAGGATGGGGCGAATAGACATATTAATCCACGATATCTTTGGGAGGAGTAGAAGTAATAAAGTCAGTGCCTTGTGCACACTTCGCACTCTGAGTATCACTGCTGTCGTTATTGTATTCATAGCCTCTTTCCCATAAGCCTTAGCCAGGCCTCAGTGTCACTGTTCCATAATGACAGTGAGTCACAGCCCAAGGCCACATAGTTAAAAAGCCGCAGATCTGGGAAGAACTCAGACCTGACTCAGAGCCCATGCAGCCTACCAACTAGCGAACAGCCCCCACAGCAGCCTTAGAAATCTGCAGTCATCAGCCACCGCTGGGGGTGATTCTGTCCTTCAGCAGTCCTTCCGTCCCGCTGTCCTGCGGTGTAAGGAAGACACCCGAAGACCGGGCGTGTCCCTGGGGGACTCGCTCTGAGTATACTTGCAAGGCTGACTCTAAGGTCAAGGTGTCATCAGGTCATTCTCACCCAGTTTCATTCCATTTGCCCTCCCCCAGAAAAACTATTTCAAAGTTCAATCTGGTTATGATTTTTCATCTAGTAGGACTGGTTAACATGCCAAAATTGTGGTTAATATTTGAGGTAAGTAATCCGAAGTGAATAATAGAAAAAACAACAGATAGTCACCCTTCAGGGTTTGTGGAGGTTGATTCCAGGATTCCCCAACCCCAGGATAGCAAAACCCATCGATATTCAAGTCCCTTGTATTAAATGGTACAGGATTTGCATGTAGCTATACATATCCTCCCACACCCAGTCATCTCTCGATTACTTAAGACAGTGTAAACACTATGTAAATGGTTGCTACGCTGAATTGTTTGAGGAGTAATGACAAGAAAAAGCCTCTGCATGTTCATTAGAAATAAGCTGTTTTTCCGTATTTTCATCCACAGTTGGTGGAATCCATGCTTCAGAACCTGCAGGTGCAGAGGGCTGATTGTATTCCTCCCCTGAGGGGTCGAGAAGTGAGGCTGTTGCTATGATAAATACTGAAAACCTGTGGAAGCAGCTTCAGAGCGGGTAATGGGTAGAACTGGGTAGTGGGTAATGTCTGGAACTGTTTTGAAATGAATGCTGGGAGTAGCCTGTGTTGTCCTGCCTGGAGCCTGAAGGGTGATTCTAGTGAATGTGTTCCTGTCTAGCATGGGTTCTTGCTTTAGTAGAGGTAGAAATTAAAACTAAAGCACAAATTTACAGAAAAAAGCTTTTTTGTTGTTGTTTTTTTGAGATAGGGTTTTGCTCTGCAGTTCAGACTGGCCTTGAACTCACTTTGTAGTCCAGGCTGGTCTGGGACTTGCAATAATCCTCCTGCCTCAGCCTCCTGAGTGCTGGGATTATAGGCGTGTGCCACCATGCCCAGTGGAAAAAAAACTTTAATTGGAATGTTGGAGGGAAGATAGAGCAGGACTCCAGCTTAGGTAGCTGGAAGGGGCACACACTGACGAAGGGGTTCAGACTGGCCCCACGTAAAGATGAGAAGCCAGCTTTCCGGAATTAGCTGGTGGGCTAAGGTGCAGCTGATCCTTATCACAGTCCTGGTGTCATAATTCTGGAATCTTATGGTGGAGAGATGGTTTCATTCCGAGGAAAAGTGTCTCTGTCTGTGGGGGTCGCAGTCATGTGGGCTCCACTTTTCCTGGAATCTGGGTGATCACAGGTTAAGGACAGTGGCTGGAGGCTTCTGTGCATAGCTGAACGTCCCTGTCAACCTCTTATCTTGATGTCCTCAGTCTTGAACACGGATGAGTGCCTATAAATTCAGGCCTGATCAGCCCTGTCTGGCCAGCTCCCAGACACACACTCCCTAAATAATCAATGTATCCTCTGCAAAGCTGAGAAGAGATTTAACCAGAGATTTACAGTAACAAATGGTAAAAAATGAAAGTCAAGCTTTGTTTTGTTTTTACCTATTGATTGGGCATCTGTAGGCTCGAGTGAAGAGTCACGGTTCATAATAAAAATGGTTTTTAAGTCCCTGTCTCATTAGAAAACACAAAACATGCTTTTAACGAGTAGCCAGTAAGGGCCAGGATTCTACTTCTCCTGCATTCCTAGGTTGCCCTGTGACTATGCCGTGACTGCCTCAGGGGGTTAGACGAGGAGAGTCATAAGCCTGAGACCCTGTGGAGTCTGCTTAAGTAGAATGGCAGAATACTGTGAAAATATGGACAGTGTAGACCATTGGTGGTGAACCAGCGGCACGCGTGCCACAATGTACAGTACCACTGAAAACTCTAAAAGGTTTGCCATCGCCGGTATAGACTATTCTGATAAGGTTTCAGGGTGCTAGAAAAGGGAGTAAAGGTCATCTCTATTATAGTGTCAAGGAACTTAACTGTGACCAGGCCTTAGGGCATTGTAGAAGACAGAACTTAACAGCAATGAACTAGGACATCTGACAGAAGAAACATCTAAGCAGCAAAGTGTTCAAGGTGCCCTATGGCTTCTTTGGGCCACTTACAATTAAATGAGAAAGAGAAAACTTACTTAAAGGTGGAACTTATAATTAAAAGGGAAACAAGACTGAAAGAGTTGGGAAATTTTCAGGCTGACCATGTAAAGAATGAAAAAAAATGTGTTTGCGAAAGGGCACCAGTGGTGCTGATGTAGGCAATTAGGGCACGGCAAAACTGGCTGGGGAAGTGGGCGTGACCTGTTAGTTATAAGAGCCCAGCATACATGCCCACAACAGTTCCCAAAGCCCTGCATGTGGACTTCTCTCCACAACTCAGAAGGTCTTCAATAGGACGGCCTGGATCTGACATCTGCCTGAGGTGTGGGATCCCAGCACCAGCACTCGGGACCCTTATGTAGAAGTTCTCCTTGACGTTAAAAGTATAGAAGGACACAGAGGCCAAAAAGAACTTGCTCTGTGGCTTTCCTCACAGTAGCTGACTTTGCTTCCTGCAGGTTGTACTTTCCTCTTTCACGCAGCCCAAGCTTTCCTGCAGAACCAGTTTATGTCTCCCTCATTTTTACTTTTTCAAATAAACTTTGCCACTGCTTTTTGCTCATTTCATACAATTCTTTGTTCGAGATGAGAAGAACCTGGAATCTCACTCCAGAAAGAGAGGTAAGCAGCCCAAAACCTGGAATGA